CAGGCACATTGAAGGCATGCTGTGTTTCTGGAGAAACTCTTCAGTGCAGCCTGCAGTTCACTTGGAGCTGCTTGGGCTAGTCTTGTTTAATGTGTGGTTTGAATTGTTTTCTCATTTCTAGAGTCAGCACATGCCACTAATAGATGACGTAAACCCTGACAGCTTTATTGAGCTGGCATTTTCACTCTGTTAATCTCACTCATCTCTGACTTCCTATGTAATAACTGAAAAAGACATTAAGGATGACATGTTTATGTGTGTTGACACAGTTGATCAATCCATCCGACTCTGGGCAATGCTGACTAAGGGATCCTAGGTCAATAACTTCAAGGCTAATAATGAAAGTAGGACGAGTCTTTGCATTGGGGCTCTGATTTTTATAATGGTAAATGGCCCCTGGATCACAAACAGATGCGGCAGGAATTGGGGGTTAATTATGTGAGAGTAGCTCATGGCATTCCTCATACTTCACTCCGTTAATAAAATTAGTATGGGACTATACTTTCCAACTATTAGACGCCATTGAGGAAGAAAGAGAGAGAGGGAGGAAGAGAGGAAGAAAGGAAGAGAAAAGAAAGAAAGAAAGAAAGAAAGAAAGAAAGAAAGAAAGAAAGAAAGAAAGGAAGGAAGGAAGGAAGAAGAGAGGGGATGGGGAGAGGAGAGGGGAAGCAAGGGAAGTAATTTTGATTCCCAGTAATAAGAGCTAAGTATATGGAGAGTAGCTGAGAGGTTAGGAGCTATTTCAAGGGACCCAGGTTTAGTTCCAAACACCCACAAGACATTTCAGAACCCTCTGAAACTCGTCTAACATCTGTGGGCACCAGGTGTGCACATGGCGAGCAGACGTGTATGCATAACAATGCTCATATGCATAAAGTAAACTAAAATCTATCTAATGTAAGGTAAAAACAATTTCTGTCTAAAACGAGCTTAATGGTAAGACCTATGGATTGTGATGCCTACAGGATGTCAGGTTCTATGCTAAGCCACTTAGGATGTGTTTTCTCATTTGACATTCCCGGCAGAATTATGAGTTATGTGACTGTATTTCCAACCTCATTTTGCTAATCAGAGTCTCATGCAGAGGAGAAGTGAGGGTCCAGAGTTCTTCAGCTATACATAATTAGTGTGCAAGCTGAGTTCCAACTACAGACAGTCTAACTGGAACCCATGTTCTTACACAAAACAGCAAATTGCTAGAACTGTTTGATTTCAAATAAATCCTGATTTCTCAGGGACCATCATCTTTGCATCTTCATACACCTTCATCTTCTTCAAATGATACACTAGAAAGAAAGAAGTATGAGGATACCTAAGGTGCTCAGACCTAATTTGTGCACAGTCTGGTTCTTTAAAAATGTATCATCATCATCATCATCATCATCATCATCATCATCATTAATTATTAGTGTTGTTTTCAGATACAAACTACAGATGAAAGGAAAAGGACATGCCCCTATTTTCTTTTAGAAAGAAAATTAAAATGCAATTTCAGTAATATCAAAACATTTAGTAGTTCATGTTTTGAATGCTCATGTATTTAGTGTTTAATCTAGCAATAATCTAGCAAACCTAATTTGGTAGCAAACTTTTCTGACAAAGAATTATTTGGCCTTGCCTGCTTAGACCAAGGTTCAACATGGAGCAGATGCTGAGACCTCCAGCAGCTATTAATTTTCAGCAGGTGTGTGGCTTGCTGCTTCATTGGAGTTTAACACAAACTTTATGTCTCGGCTTATGTAAGAGTATGTTCATTAGCTCTGTCTTGCTAACTGAATGAATACACAGCCACTCATCCGAAGAACCACATCTGTTGGTAAGTAAGTGAGCAACCTCATACATATTGCTAAAAGCAAAGATCCATTTGAAGACCTGCCCTCAGACCCTCACCATGACAGAGGATGACTACATATGCAGCACAGACATTTACTGCCAGAGGGAAAATATCATAAGATAAAGCAATTAACCCAGAATTCTGTGTGAGCTATACCAATGAACATTTAAAAACTGAATTTTTAAGGTACAGAATATAGAAAGTGAACTTAAGACTTTTTACAGCTTTAAAAAGTATTTCATTTAGCCTTAAATCTCAGAAAAGCACACTAATAAATTATTATAAAATACTTGGTTTACTTTTCCTGTCCCAATCAAATATCACACTTAGATTTACTTAAAACAATTTTGAAGTGTTTTTTTTTCAATATGCTATGTGGAAGAATGCATCATATTTTGATTCAAGCTATTTATATTTTTCTGTCCTAAACTTTTCATAATTTTAATCCAATAAAAATCACATCCCATAAGGTTCTCATATCATTTACATTCCAACTTTATAACTGCATTAATTTGCCATATGTCTAATCTCTTTACAACCAAACATTACAAAGTAGAACTATTGATCAACATTCCCTGTAGAAGTGTAGGAGGAACAATCCTTGCCTGGAATGCTTATAGCCACAAGTATTTCAGAGTACAGATATTATAAGGTATCTGGAGACAGGGTCCAGATGTAAAAGCAAAATCCTTTTGGGATAGATACCTATTTAACCTGTAGTTATTTTACACACTATTGTAGTGCACCTACATTCTGACTGGGATGGCTCTACTAGAGCACAGGTGGTATTTTCATACTTTGGGTGTTGTATTAACACTGAAAAGGCATCTGGTTCGTCATTTTAGATTTAAATTTTTATAATAGGCATGCTCTGCTCCTCCCTGTTTATCTGCCTGCTCTTCCCCACGTGACCCTCGGAATGAATTATAGCCGTATACTTCCTAGACATTCCTCTGTTTACAGTTAGCTGCCCTGGCTTCCTCTGAACTCTCACACTGCACCAAAACCCCTGTCTTACTCATCACTCTATTTCAGTGTATATAAAATTGCACCTGGCTCAGGGGAGAAGAGCATTTATTTCAAATTAATTCAGCGAGTGAATGAATGTGCCTACCCAAGCCATCAGATGTCTAGTGCAGCCTCACATCAGTCAAGCAAATGGAGAAGTTGGAAATCTATTGCTCATTGGTCTCTGTGTCAGGACAATGACTAATAATTATCTTCTTCAGTCTGGTACTAAGAAAACAAACATGGAAACGAGCAAGAACTGATGGGGAATGTACTGTGTATGTTCACCTTACTGATTATTGAATAAAGTACTTGTTTGGCCAATGAGACAGCAAGTTAGACGGGACTAGGAGTCAAAGAGGATTCTGGGAAATGAAGTAGAGAAGTGGTGATCCAGACAGGAAGTGACATAGCAAGGAGACTCATATTTAAGCAAGGAGAAACAGAAAGTGCCCCTTTTCCCCTCCGCTCTTCCTCCAGCAGCACAATGTGATCCACTGGCAAGGAGGGACACCAATAAGGCATCTGATAAGATAAGTCTTACAAAATATATAGATATATGATAATTAAGACTGAGCTAACAGATGAGGAATCCTAGTCATTGGCCAAGCAGCATTGTACCTAATACAAGTCTCTCTGTGCGTTAATTGGGGCCCTAACTGAGGCGGGTAGCTGGTGTAGAGCGCACACACGGTGGTGGGGCTCGGCGGCTTTCGGTGGAAAGATTTATCGTAACAAAGAATCATGAAGAATGATTCTCCAGAGAAAATGCAGACAGCAGAAGACCAGTCTTTGGCTGCAACAGGGGAGAGGGTGGAATGGACTACTTTATATACCTAACTAATCCACACAGAAGTCTGCCTTGCTAGGATGGGTGGGAAGAAGAGGATGGGAAGAAGAGATTTCACACAGAGACTTTTTGAGAAAGGCACAGGAACAACTACAGTGTCCAAGGAGAATCTCTGAGGGAAATAAGAAGTTCTATTGTGCTTTGAGGGGTATTGCTGAGGCATTATCTATAACCACAGGACTTAGTCCCAGAACTTGGGAGATGAGACGGGAGGATCAGAACATTGGCAGGTCAATTTTCCTTGCTGTTTCTTTATATACCGCACATAATACACACTCCTGGTGCCATTTAAGAGATGCAAATATGATGTGGTTCTCTTGAAAATCATTTTTTGATGCAGAAGTGTTATTTTTCGACACTGCCTTTGTGGAAACCTGAAAGGGTTGGAGAGGATTTTACTCAGGCTTGAACTTTATAATCAGGGCACAAAGAAGCAAGGAAGTTAATGTGGAAAGACAAGCTCATTTCTTTTATTGGCACAGCTTCCACAGGATCCAAGACACTCCTGCATACAGAGAAAACCCTAAACTTCTATAGAAGTACTGGTAGATGAAACTGTATGAATCTCCTTGTACTCCTCTTCATGCAAGGTCATGTGAGATTTCTAGAAATACACTTTCTAGTGCCTCCTTCAAGCACAAAGAGAGTGACATGACTTTGTACTTGATAATCCCTTTCCTTGTACTTGGTATTTTGAAATGGATTCTGAAAGCTAACTCTTAAACTTACTTCAACTTGACCTCTAAATAGTAACATATTGTTTTCAACACAAACATTTTTCTTTAACCAGAGTATCTACATACTTTGCCCACTGCCCAGACTCCCACAACCCAAACCCTGAAGCAATATTTGTTTTGTTTTGTTTTGTTTTTTGCTTTTATATGTTTCATTTTTTTTATTCGTGTTGGGGTGTGCTATGTGCATGTCAGTGCAGTGCCTGTGAAGGCCAGAAGAGGGCAAAAGGTCGCCCTAGGAGCTGAAGTTACAAACAGTTTTGAGCCACTAGATATAGGTGCAGGGAACTGAACTTGGGTCCTCTGGATGAGCAGTAAGCACTCCTATTTGCTGATTCTTCTCTACAGGCATGGGAATATTTGTTTTGATTATGATATTTTAAGAATATGTAAATTATTCCCCAAAAAAATGCACAGCAAACTTAGCTGCTTATATCTAAAGATAATGTTCTTCATTCCTCAGGCCCTTGCCTCTGAATATGCCTGCAGATTTTCTCATCTTGACCACGGAAGCTCTGGATCTTCCTTTTTTTTCCAGATAACAACTTAATTTCTCACCTTTTCTGTTCCTCAGTTACTTCAGATGATGCTCATTCTGTGGATTTTGGCTTTCGAGTTGATATTGAAGAAAAAGGATTCTACACAGAGAATTTTCATTCGACAGCATGGGTTTTCCGAGGTGATGATGGGGATCCTGAAGACAGCCCCAGGTGTCTTAGTAAAAAGCCAAGACCAGTAGCTGGTAAGGACTTTCAAATTACAGCAAGATGCATACGCCTTAGAAAACTCATAGCTACTGTCTTGGAAAAAAAAGAAAGAAGGAAGGAAGGAAGGAAGGAAGGAAGGAAGGAAGGAAGGAAGGAAGGAAGGAAGGAAAAAAAGAAAGAAAGAAAGAAAGAAAGAAAGAAAGAAAGAGAAAACTCATAGCTAGAGCCTCTGAAGTTTCCAGCCCTGAATACTGAAGAATATGGGTAGTTGAAGTGAGTTTAAGAATCTCATAGCCAGGCAATGGTGGCACACATCTTTAATTCCAGCACTTGGGAGGCAGAGATAGGCAGTTCTCTTTAACTTTGAGGCCGGCCTGGTCTACAGAGCAAATTCTAAGACAGGCTCCAAAGCTACACAGAGAAATCTTGTCTCAGGAAAAAAAGGAAGAAAAGGGGAAAAAAGAATCTGAAATTATTAAAATGAAAACTATTTTAAGAGCTATTCCTGAAAAAAAAAAAAGATACCAGGTGTGGTTGTTTGAAAGAAAATGGCTGCCAAAGGGAGTGGCACTATTAGGAGGTGTGGCTTTGTTGAAGTGTGTGACCTTGTTGGCAGAAGTTTGTCACTCTGGAGGCAGAATTGAGGTCTCATATATGCTCAAGCCACACCCAATGTCTCACTTCACTTCCTGTTGCCTGAAAGATGTTGAACTCTCAGCTACCTCTCTAGTACCATGTCTTCCTTCATGGCACCATGTCCCTCCATGATAATGGACAAAACCTCTGAAACTGTAAATGTTATAAGAGTTGCTATGGTCATGTTATCTCTGCATGGCAATAGAAATCTAACTAAGACAGAAGACATTATTGTACTGCCTGGTTTTGTGTGTCAACTTGACACAAGTTAGAGTCATGAAAGAGAAAAGAGTCTCACTTGAGGAAATGCCTCCATGAGATGGAACTGTACAGCATTTTATCAGTTAGTGATCAATGTGGGAGGACCACTGGGCTGGTGGTCCTGGATTCTATAAGACAACAGCCTGTGCAAACCATGGAGAGCAAACAAGTAGTAGCACCCCTCCATGGCCTCTGCCTCAGCTCCTGTCTCCAGAAACCTGCCCTGTTTAAGTTCCTATCCTGACTTCCTTCAGTGGTGAACAGTAATGTGGAAGGGTAAGCTGAGTAACCCTTTCCTCCCCAACTTCCCATGTTGTCATGATGTTTTGTTACAGCAATAGGATCGCTAACTAAGACACCAGGGATTAATGAGCCAACACAGATGGAGGAAATCTCCCAATGCCTCCACTCCTATATGAGGTTATGAGAGAGGGGGAGAGTCAATCTTCTTCAGTAACAAGCCCACTGATGGGTCATATAACTCCAAATAGACAGACCTAAACATTTATACATATGAACAGCACTAAAGGAATGAATCCAGAAGATTGTATTTATAAGTGTGTGTGTGTGTATGTGTGTGTGTGTGTGTGTGTGTGTATAACAATAATAACTGAAGAATAAGAGGCCACGAAATTGAGAGTTGGGGGAATGGGGGTAAGTTGGATGGAGGAGAGGGAGAGGGGAAATTATGCAAATATCTACCATACAAAATTCTCAAAAAAATAAAAAAGTGCGTTTGCTATTTCTTCAGAATAATAATTCCAGATATGAAGTAAAAACTAATGTAAGCTGGGGATAGTGGTACATGCCTTAAATCCTGCATACAGGAAAAGGGAGCAGGGCTGTGGCCAGAGAAATAACTCAGTGCATGCACAGTGTTCTTGCAGAGGACTGGAGTCAGGTTCCCAGCACCCATGACAGAAAGCCCACCTATAACTCCAGATGAAGGGCACTCAAAAAGCCTCTGGCACCTGTGTAAACATGCACAAATCCCACCCAAATACACAAATATGCACATAATTAAAAATAATAAAAATAATTTTTATTAAAAAGAATCCAAAGTCAGCCTACAGTACATGAGTATAAGCTCAGCCTGGGGTCCATAAAACCTACCTCAGAAAAGAACACTAAATATGACAAATCTTACAGGAAGTTTTCTTACTAGAAAGAAATAAAATGAGTCAGAAAAAATTACAAGATCGATGGTGAAGATCCAATAGTGATCTTAAAAATATACAAGTTTCTATGTATAATTTTTATTTGAGTTGCAACATAATGGAAGAACCCCAGAGTTAAAGAAGGAGCCTCAGGGCTGGGAATCCGACTACCTCACTGATGGATTCCGGGCACCTACAATGGACCTGTCTCATCTTAGAAAAGCAAGAAACATTTTTGAACAAATGAATAAAAGACTGTTAAGTGTAGTGAGCAGGAAGTACTGCTGAGTGAGTTCTGAGTAACTCACCAGCCATGGTACTTTACAAAAGATGCTCATTGCTCTTCTTCAGGCTGATGTATACAGCATTATAAAACTTGAAATTATGGACATGAAAATTAAAATCAGACAATTTATACATCTTGGCTATTTCTATCTCTCACTTTATTTTGTGTAGAATATTTGTTTATTTATGTGTAACTTAGACACAATTTAATCACATAATACACATATCAAATAAACAACAATTTTTGACTATATTTCCCTTCCCCCTGGAATCTGCTACATAATAATAAATAAAACACAACTACTCCTCTCATCAGTGTAATATAAACCATGATATAGAAGGTCTGAAAGAAATGTGAAATTACTGTAATATTTACTATGTTCCCAGTCACCAAAAAACAATAATTTTCTTTATTATGATAATTTTGTATTGGTGAGAGAAAAAATAAAACTGCTTTTGTATATAGTAAATATAAAACTTTGTACATATTATATAATATCATAGGCATTATATTACATATTGCATACAATTATATATAACACAATGCATGTTATTATATGTTATAATATATGATACATATGATATATTTTCTTACACACACATATACATGCACATATAGGCTTATATGTATGTGCTTATATGTGTGTGCATACATGAATGTGTATGAAATCTGTTTACATTTTGCAAGTGAGCACCATGAAGCAGTAAACTGAAACCGTCCTACTTGTTTGCTTGTTATGAAGATTTCAAATGTTATTTATGCTAGGATGCATGTCTTCTTGACAGAGTCACATTGAGAGATAGAGAAAAGTATATAGACATTAGAAAAATGACCCACAGGCAAGTGGACAACTTTAACTAAAATAATTTAATAACCTAATAATACTTCAAAAATACTGTAATGATAATTTACATGGGTTATGATTTATTTTATAAAAATAAATTTTATACTTGTAAAGCAAAGCTCAACCCTTGATTTCCTAGAATTTCTGAGTTGGAAAATAGTCAAACAAGAGGATCTCTGCCTGCAAAGATGCATTGCTTTAGCCACCTTAAGAATGTAGGGTGTTGCAGTGTGTGAGTTTTGTTATTTCTATGAAAATATTCACCCTGTATTTGGATTTTTACAACCAACAATATAATGCTAAGGAAGGGTTGTCTAGAGGGATAAATTACTTGACGACGCATCCACAGTCTGTGAAACAACAATGACATTCATTTGTGGCTTCTCAGCAGCTGTGTGGCACTTATAGATTATACACTAGACAGTGCCATGGGAAAGTAAGACTATAAATCTTAAAATATGAGAAAATTGTCTTCAGAATGGGAGAGGCACACATTACAAACATGTTGATTGTGTCCTCCCACAGGAGACTTCTACAGCTGAGCTCACCATTTACAGACTTTATTGGAATGTTTATTCTTCCATACATGTTGTTGACATTCAGTTTGCTTGATTGAAAACAAAAACCACAAAAACATGACCTTGAAAGCAATAGCTGTTTTAATAGTCTCATGAAATATAAAAACAAAACAACAAATGTGATTTGATTTGATTCAACACATAAAAATCTTCCATTAATCAAATATGTGATGGGTAAATCAATCTGTCAAAAGCAGAAGATAGAGTCAAGGGAGTAACCTAGAGGGAACAAGAAACCTTGAACAGTAGAGAGGTTAGAAATCATTGTTACAGAAGTCAGAAATGGATTTCTGCTTTTCCTTTGGTCCTGATTAGCTACCAGCCTATCTCGGAGTGTTGAAATATTAATTCCTAAGTCCTTGAATTTCCCAGTTCTGACTCTTAAATTATGAGATCCAATAAGACACTGTCCAAATATTTATGCCAAGAGAGAATTCCCTTAATGAGTAACAAACTTTCCCAGAGGCACAGAGCAATGTAGAACACAGAACTTAGAGCAAGAATCCACACAACACCTTCTCAGCATTATTATTATATTATTATGCTTTTCCTGTTGAAAACAGAAGAACAACACATTTTCTCTGGGCATTTTACAAAACAAACATCCCTTCCAGCATCCACGTGAAGACACTGTATCCTTCCATCCCATCCCTGAATGGTGCCAGTCTTGGCAACAAGTGTCAAGCACGTAAGCTTCAAACAGAAAGGGTACTTCTCTGACTCTACTACAATCCTGTCCCACAAGAAAGTGCTGGGGAGAACAGCAGTGCACAGCAAATGTTTGTAAATTAACGTCTCCTTCTTGGGACTGCAATGAACCTGTGAGAATGGATGAAGGTCTCCTTGTTGATATCAGATGCTTGTCTTCCTTATCTGACCAAAAAGGTGGTCACAACTGAGCATGCCTGGGCAGAATGCTTTGCTATATTTGTTACTTCTCACAAGAAACCTAGTACAAAATATAATGGATTCACCTCAGAATACCTGAGAGAAAAATCAAGCAAATCATCTTACAAGCTCTGCAGAGTAATATAAATTTATAATAACAATAGTTTTGCTAATGTTATGAGACATGCTTGATGTAATTTAAAAAAAAATGGTGCATGAGAGACAGATGCCATGTGGCAGAGTTCAAGTGGAGGACTTTTTTAAGAGGGAGGAGAGAGAGGGGGAGCTGGAGACAGACAGACAGACATAGAGAAAGATGGAGAAAAGAAAGAGAGAGGGATGGGAGGTGGGCGGGGCCATTTTAAAGGGAACACAGTGAAGGTGCACAGGTGGTACTCTTAGTGGCTGCATCTGAGGGTGTATCCTGTCAGAACCTCAAGGGTAGGGCAGTACAGATGCCTGAATACTAACAATGCTCATATAAAGCCATCCGTCCTCCATGTTGAGGATGAGATTCTATAGCAAGTGGAAGGCTAAACCATGGTTTTTTTTACCACCTTCGGGAGCATCTTTCTCCATCACTTCAATGTCTCACAAGTTCCTTTGGCTTCCTACATGCTTTTAATTCTGCGTATATTTTGTCTACACATGAATACTCTGAACGTGTCTTTGGATGTGGGCTTTAAGATAAGGCAAGTCTACAAAAAAGAAACATCTTTCCACTTCCACCTGGAGAAAGGTCTGAATCTAAGCAGTAACAAGTAACATCCACAAAAGAAAAAGAAGCAGCAAAATATTTTACCCAGAAATTCTAACCCATTCCTACTTTGTATGAAAGAGAATCCTATTAAATTTCCATTTTAAGGTGCTAGGTCACCCCTATTCTTTTTAATGGCTTTGTAATTGCCTAACGTTTTCACAAGTACCTGGGAGTGGAACCACCATTTAGAATCTGCTTCTAAAGCTCAGGAAAGTTACCCATTATACTTTATTATCATTTACTCTTTACATACTGTTTACAAGTCTCCAAAGTAAAAATGCCAATGATGCTTTTTTCCCCATCTCTGAGTAATACAACCCCTAACCATTCTGAACAGAGAAGACAGTGGTCTGTGAGGCTGTTCTTCACAGTGGGCATACACTTGTGGTAGAGAAGAATAAAGAGGGTCAATTGATGTTATGAATAAGCTAAAATGATTAACAAGCAGACGTTGTGAGGAACACACACACTCACACACCCACACACACACAGACACACACACACACACACACATACACACACACACAC